GGGAAATGGCTCAGGGAAGAGCGGGAAGCGGACTGTGGCGGTATGAAGGAGGAGGGGTCAAATATATCAAGGGTGCACGTTAAGAAAGAGATGAGGTAGAGGGAGGGGGTGGTACGCGGGAGGAAGAACGATACGTTGACACCGTAAGCCCACTGGCAATCACCACGACGTGGTGATTAGAGATGCAAAAGGAGCACCCGATCCGCCCCGCTCCCTACTCATTGGTATAATTGTACCATATATAATGCATATGTAGTTGGTCTAACTTTTGATCAAAGATGATCTTTTTGGGATGTGTGCATGTCTTATTCATAGATTATTCATTGAAATGAAGTGAGTATACAACTAGAAAAAACAGCTATAGAAGAGTTATATTGTGTTAGTTCATGGGACACCACTTTGCCCTAGCGGTGATGCCCGTTAGAATAATAGAAAAATGATGTGCAAGATAGGCGTAAGAAACAAAAACTCGGGAACCAATGTTTGAAGGAAAATAAAGTCGGTGAGTACGTATATACTCCTTTCGTCCCATAATGTAAAAATGTTTTTGACACTATATTATAGGACAGAGGGAGTACTAAGCTAGCACATCTCCTTCTCGCCGACAATTTCACATCGTTTACTTTTGTTTTTTGACCCAGCACTCCCGACCAGGTGTGAACCAAGAAAACTTATGAACAATGATAGTAGTAGTAGTACATTATTTTATGCACCCCTCTGATTTTGTCACGACTGAGGCCCCTGCTCGGGCTAACATGGCCACGGAATATGCCGTAGATCGACAAGCAAGCAAGCAAGCAAGCACTACATCTCCATCCGTTCCCAACAGAAAATACGGCACCGTTTCCTCTTTTTTTAGCCAAAAATGCGGTGCCGTTGATGATCGTAGCTAGCTAGCCTGGGATTGCGTGTGGGTGGCCAAGAATCTTTCCTAATGAACATATCTACACGACACGAGATCGCCCAACGGAGCAAGGCAGTAGTGTGGCTGCACTATATAGCGAAGCATTTTGGTGGTGGTGGTGGTGGTACCATCGTGTGCTAGCGACGGCTCCATCGGTAGGGTCGGTGGGGCGCTGTGCGTACGTAGGTGGCGCGCTACCGTTGGCGCCGGAAGTCGCCGCGACGCCGACGGCCCAGCTAATTCATTTATAATCGCTCCAACGCGTGTGTCACGTTTCAGTGGCATTTTCACGAGGGAGTAGTGGTTAACCCGCCATTATTTGCTCAATGGTTATTATTATTAGAGCGACTTTGCTGCCGTTTGCATGTATCTTGAACTGGTTAGTTAATTTGGCTTGAAGCTGCCGAAGTCGGTGGGGGGCTTTGCCATGGTGATGAGCGGTTGACTTTGTTTTAGGGTGTTGCCGCATGTGTTGTTGCTTTGTTAAGCAATAATGTGCTTGCATGAATTGAGTAGCACGCATGACCGACATTTTCGTTAAACGATGGATTGACCAACGATGACGCACGCGTGGTCGGAAAATGGTTGGGACGATGACGTATGGCCACGCCTTTCGAATTTTCCGGTTCATTAATTAATTAGGTCTGGCTCCCCTCGAAGCAAAAAATATTGCTTGATTGTGTCTTAATTAGGGGATGCATGACGATGTATCTACCGGTGGCACGCCGTGAGCGAAGCTCGTTGTCATGTCTGGGCCCTCTGTTTTACCGGAGAATATGATCCGAAAAGATCATCGATCGTCCGAGAGAACGTAGCACCCAAAGCAACACATGATAATTCCCATTCCGGATATGTAGAGAAAGGGGCACAAACCTCACGTGTTCCTCCGCAGACCACCGCCATTGTCATTGCTCCTATACCAGTGTCGTTCTGACCTTGTCGAAAATAACCGGAAAGTTTTTGTGCTCGTGGCCCCAAAGACCAACGCCCTGGAGCTGCGGTCATCGACATTGAACCTTTGAATCAATCCGACGAAACTGGCATCAAATCTCATCATTGTGCATGACGAGAAACCCTAATCTCGCTGCCCTGAAGAACTGGAAAAATTCTACGCGTACGTGGAGCTCTATCTAATCCATCCCGATTCACGAACTTGGAGCACCGCCCATCCATCCAAGAACTAAAAGCCCAAACATATCCGCTAGGCAGAGCCAAGACACAAGGATTTCCGTCCAATCACACACGTCAATTCATCTGATCTCTTTGGAAGATCCTTTCCTTGTAATAATAAGCCAGTCTTGCTTGTTTTAGTACATGGACAACCTAATTCACCGCAAGAAAACAAAAAGGACATGGATAGGATAACCAAATTAATATCCTATGTACGCCGACGATGTAAAAACAGTACTACTCGTAGTAAACATGCCTAGCTTCCCTAGGTGGAGGTGGGAAGCTACTTGGCTTCTTGCACCCCCAAAGCTAGCTCATTACAGGCAGGCAGCAGTAGGCGTGCGTGAAATCGATTTGTTTGGCCGTAGTGCTGACT